TTTTCCTTTTAAAATTTTAAGTTACCGAGTATTTCTTTTCCCAAATCGTTTTACAATACTGTAGGTAAAACAGTATACTATTGTGCAAACCCCACAGAAAAAAAATTAACAAATGGAGACACCAAAAATGTAAAAAAAAAAAATGCTGTCTGACTTGCAACACTGTTGGTAGGGTCAGGTGGTTCTAACGGTACCTGCCAGGACCCGGTAATCAAATTTATAACAATATCTAACCTCAATTACTGTAGTTTATCTGATGTAGGCAATATGAAGTAAAAAATACCAGTTAAAGTGAGAAATTGGAAGAGAATAAACAAGAAAGATGTTGGGCTATTTTTGGTAGGGCTGAGGGAGAGAGTACCAGCTGTTTGGTCTTTTTTGGCGGGAGAGTCACGCAAATATCCGTACTAGTATTTGTTTGGTGTTCTGTATTTTTAAAAATGAATACTTGTAAATTAAAAGTACCGTAACATTGTATTATATAAAATCTTGTCATATTTCTGGAAAATAAGAAGCAAGAAAATAAGAATACACCGGTAAACACAATTTCAACGTACGCTAAAATTAAAAGCTGCTTAAGAAGGGCCGATGCAAACACAAAGCCTTCGCGACCAGGGCTCTGCCGTATCAGTTAGACGGTACACGTGTTTTTCGAATCGTTTTCAGTTAAAAAACTTTTACATCACAAGTGAATTAGGATAGAATATTAATTGAAGGAATATCTTTTGAACGATGTCCACTTTCACGTTGGCTCTGGTAGCAAAATATTACATTTCCCATATTCTCAGAAATAAATAGTAAGTTTTCGCTTGAAACGGATGTATTTCTAATGTAATTTGGATAGACTACATGCAAGAAATGAAAAGACTTACCTAACCTTCCTTTGATAACAAGAGATGTTACTCGTATTTTAATAGTTTTCGTTAAAATACTGTTATATGGAAGACATTCTATCTGCTACTGTGTTTATTATAATACCTTCCATTTAGAAATGTATATTTTTGCTGAAACACATAATGACATGCGGAAAGTGGATAAAATTCAGGATGAAACAATGACTTTCGCGAGCCTCTTGCTCAAAAAGATGTTACCCGTGAATCACTTTTAAATATTTAGTTAAAAACTGTTGTATTGTATTACAATAATATCCCACTGACTTGAATAAATATTGATACTATTTCTGAATATTTTCATTAAACCACCCGCACCATTTTGTCATCGCCTCGCAGCACCAAACAGCTTTCTCCCAGTCCTTTCCTTGAACAGAGGGCGGCTAGAGGTGCGCCATCAGATTCAATCGCTTTCTGAAGTTAAAAAACTGTTACATCACACGCATCTAAACCGCGCCTTGAATAAAATATAGACATTCTAGAATAAATAGTAGTTTTGCTGAAACGTGATGTATTTAAATGTAAAATAGATAGAGCATATACGAAAACAAAAGACTACCTAAGCTCCGATGTTCTCTAGATGTTATTCGCTAATAGTTTCGTTAAAATTCCCGTTATATTACAATGATATTCTATTTATAAATGGATATAATACATTCACGGAAATGTAATATTTTTTGCTGAAATGACGAGACGTATTACAGTGGAAAGTGGATAAAATTGTGATGAAAACAATGACTGGCTTTCTTCGCTCAAAAGATGTTACCAGAATCACTTTTCGAATGGTTTAGTTAAAAACTGTTGTATTACAATAATATCTCCCTCCTAATTGACTTGAATAAATACTCTTGAATGGAAATATTAATATTTTTTGTTGAAAACTACCCGCTGCTTCATGCAGTAGTGCTCGTGGATAATAAATGGAAACAAGTTTATAGGACGTAGTGTTTCTGTGCCTTATGTTCTCACCAAAAACTTGGGTCGCACTCTATAAACGAGAATATCACAAATCAGTCCATTTCATAGACGAGTATATACGGTATATATATATATATATATATATATATATATATATATATATATATATATATATATATATATATATATATATATATATATATATATATATATATATATATATATATATATATACTGTATATATGTATTTATTTATATATATATATGTGTGTGTGTGTGTATATATGTATATGTATGTGTATATGTATGTATAAATAAAAAAATAAAAAATAAATAAAAATAATAAATAATAAAATAAATATATATTAAAGTGATAACTGTGGTAACACTATGAGATGTACTTATTACCACCATGCTAATGTACTATTCCAGATGATACTAAATGTTACATAATACTTCCTTGAGATAAATGTATAGTATATATCAGGTGCCTCAAAGAGAGCTCAGGTTCTCAAATGGCTCAGCCATGTTAATATTGTTATTATTATCCACTCTGTATCTATTTTTCTGACTAAATAAACTGTTTCCACACACACACACACACACACAAAAAAACAAAAAAACAAGGGAATTAAGACAGCAAGCATGAGGAGTGAAGGTCTTCGTGTATGACACATCTGCGTGTGTGTAACTGCATGGTAGCCAGTTAAATATCAGCTGTTGTGGAGCGCTTGACAACACTCATTTCCATTCCATCTCTCTCCATACTTTAAAATGTTATGTTACGTAATGTTGAAGGGATACAATTTTGCTCAATTATACTTATCACAACCTCCCTAAAAATACTTTAGGTTTCGTGCTTATTCAAGTAATCTTCAGATCATGAGACCCACTAATCCCCCACCCAAGAACAGGTGACCTGACATTCCATCAGAAGGTAACTAATATGAGACCACTAATCCCCCACCCTACCTCCACCTGAAATTGTGTCAGGTCAGGTCACTTATATGAAACCCACTAATCCCCCTCTCCATGGGAGTGGAAAATAACAGTGTGCTGTAACAAAGCTTCATTCATGCCCTTATTATATAGATTTTTAATTTTTAAATAGATTTATTTAATCAAACTTTTAGATCAACTATTCTGGATTATTATAGTAAAGAAATGGAGTTTCATTGCTAAAGTTGCCTCCAAAAAGCTGGAAATGCTGTACAGATGCCGTAACTACTTCACTCCTGAGCAGTTGCTTCAAGTTTATAAGGGATTCATTCGTCCTAAATTGGAGTACATTGCTCTCGTATCCGTGGTGGCTCTTCTTCTGTCCAACTGTTAGATAGGGTGGAATCATAGGCATTTCATCTTATTAACTCTCCTCCTTTAGTTGATAATCTCTCTTCCCTTTCTCTTTGCCACAATGTTGCTTCACTCTCTCTCTTTTAGAGGTACTTTAACAGGCAATGTTCAGTGGATTTGGCATCCTGTGTACTGTCGGCAAGGCCATGGGCTTGTAACAATCGTCTTGCCCGTGGTACCCACCGTTTTTCTGTGAATGTTAATCACACTAAAATAAACCGTTATAGTACATCCTTCTTTCCTCACACAGCCAAACTGTGGAATGCTCTGCCTTCTGTGTTTCCATACTCATACAATCTGTCTCCCTTCAAAAAGTTGGTTTTCCAGCATCATCGTGGTGTAGATTAATATAATCCTCTTTTCTTTTTTTAATTTATTTTTACTCTTATTTTTTGCCCCCGAGGCCCCGCTGTGGGCCGTTGACTTGCGCCCGGGTGGGCTATTCCCAGTAAAAAAAAAGAACAAAATTCTAATTTTTTCTAAAAACCAGTTTTTGTGATATAGTCCAGAATGCGACGCCTAGCTTATACCTAGGTATGCTAATGCCTAGCAATAACTCGCCAGGCCAACATACAGGCAATTAAAACATCTATTAATTACTTAAGAAGTAATATTAGGAGGATAAGTCGCTACCTGGCAAAAAATTGCAATTCTCAAAACTCCCTCCCTCAACCCCCATCATGCACACTGCCACCATCATCTTCTTGCCTGGCGAATCAGCTGTAAATACACACAAAGAAGGCTCCGCAAATTTGTGTTGTAATAGCTGAAATACTAAGTGCCACGAGGAATTTATATACGGTATTTAAACAGTGAGGAAACAGAGTGAACTGCATTTATGGACTCTGGTAGTTTACTCAAGGAAACATCCCAGCACCCAAAAACATTCTGGAAAAGTGGGCTAGTGTCCATCTGTGCAAGATGTCTAGTTTAGACACTCGGAAACTTTTCCCAGTAACCGGAAAAGATTCCGGGGATAAGGAATTATTCCGGGTTTGAGAAAGTCGTCTGGTTAGCCAGAAATCTCTCATCCCCGGAAGTGCTGTGCACCTATTGTTCCGGCTAATGGGGATATCACAGTAGAGTATACAATGTAATGTATGAACATGTAGAGTGCAGCCACTATACTCAGTACAGCATACTGGCGCATCGTCCACTCGCAGCAGACCCATCGACCCTAGAGGGTCAATTATTGCTATTTATTGTCAAACATTTCTCTCGTCATGGTTCACCCCCTCCCCCCCCCAAAAAAAAAATAAATAAATAAATTCTCAACAGATCTACGCGATTCACATGGGTCGCCTAAAACGATGAGGAAAAAAAGCGGAGGTACCACATCCCTGAAGATTAAAAGAAATAATCATTATAAAGTAAAAAACAGAGTGAATATATATTTCTTACGTCAGTGGTGTTAGCTCACAATCATGGGAGGGAGAGGGGGGGGAGCGCACTCCTGTGTCCTTCGTGAAACGATTGCCAACTGGCAATGCAGTATTTTTATTTTTATTTTATTTAATAGTATTATTTTTATTAACTCTTCACATTTACATTAGACTGCACAGGGATAAGAAGCAACACTAATCAGTGGATACTTAAAATTCAATGCCATGATTGGCGACATTGTATAGAGAGTATAACCTGTGGAGACCTGGGATCCGTGTCTGTGAAATCAGTGGCTGACGAAGGTCTACTGTATGTCAAATAGAACCAATATTTCCAGAGCTACTGACTGGAGCTACTTATCTCAGCCAGTTCATTGTTGAATCTTCCATCTTCAGCTGCTCTTTCCATTTCCAGGGACAAATATCAACCATTCTAGGTTCAAGCATTCACACTTACCTCCATATTTGGCTTCCAACGAGCTTCAAAAACAGACATGGCAGCCAAGGATCCTGAACCCATGGTAGTATATGGGAGGCGATCAGTGGAACCGTGTGGATGGATCGAGTATATGTGGGAATCATGTTTGTCAACACCTCCCAGCACCAGTGCAGCACCTACGTAACCCTGTAAGAAAAAAAAAATATATAGCTTTAAAAGAGTAGCTAAAGAAAGAAACAAGGCACTGTGCAAGAAGTCAATATTGGTGTGGATAAGAATCAAGAGCTGATTGAAACTTACAAGTGAGAAATATTAACTTTGTGAGACTGGTTATTTATTCAATACTTGAAAGCATAACGATGAAATGATCATGCTTCAGATTTAAAAAAACAGCTTTATATAATACTCCTCCAATTTGAGGGTTAAGTTCGTTGAAAACTGAGTGTTAATGGAATCCGCATCTGAGGAACTAAATATTTAATGAGATTAAAAAGAGTTGGGGAACGCCACGACGTAAATTCTCATCAGCTGACTCATTGACATGTGGATGCCACCGCGCAGCACCAGCTGTGTGTATGCTATTACGTTACATAGAGAGGGAGTGCAGCCACACAGCTACATATACCCATAACCCAGAGCCTCAACACATTCACTTCCCACATATATACACTGATGTTCTTCATTTTTCTTATTTTATAGTTTTATACAGTATTATATTTTCTTTATTTCTAAGCCACATTAGAGTATCATAATGATTTTTCAACAACTCTTATAGCTTCATTACAAGTTAACAACATACAAGGCAGGCAGGCTACTGCACTCATACCACTTTCTAACTTATCAAAAAATTTAATTTTCTCATTCTAATGTGGTCACTTTATGGCTTTTCTTTACTCCAGCATCACTTGCAGATACTGTAATGTGCATTTAGGAGCCATACTGTTCAAGGGTTTGTTTCCCCAAGGAACAGTAAAGACAGCAAAAAGTATACAGTATCACTATGAACAGCACAGCTCTTCACCCGAATACAGCTTACACGAGAATGATGAGACTGGGGCTGAGGGAGACAACTCGGGAGATGCGAGAGGGAACCACGCTGTGTTAACTTGCTAACAAACAGCGAAAATTTGAATTTTTCGTGTTCGGCAAATACATTTGTCACATTAATTTTGTGTGTATTAGTGAATTCACGTTGTAAGAATATACGTTGGAGGCGGGCTTACTGTACTGTGAAACCTAGATTTAACAGTCGCATCCATTATGTCCTTTTCAAGCCTATTCATTAATCGGTTGGTGGCAGCCAAACAGTGCAGAGCTCCTGCAATTCTTTGATAAAATCTTTAATTTACTGAACTCACAGCTATTTTAATTAACAATGGTGTCTAATAGAAGTGGAATGAAAAGGAAACAATGTCCTGACTGTTACGGAGAAATTAAAGGTCATTGAGAAAACAGATGCCAGCATAACTACAGAACCAGAATCATGGACTATTTTACCAGTCAAAGTGTTAAGACACAAAATAAAGCAAAGAAAAGCTTAAGTATATTCTCTGCAGTTTGACGTGAATAATTAAAATTATAAAAATTAAAAGAAGCTGTATATAAATAGTATGTCCAATGGCATTCAAGTGATGTTGCTCTTCATGTAAATCATTTAAAATTTATTAAGCATGTGGCATTGGAGCCTTGCTACAAACACTGAAAACTCTGAGGAAGAGAGTAATTTGACAGCAGCTGAAGAGATCAACCAATTGAAAATTTATAGCATCTTAAATCCAGTTGTGCACCTATGCTCTTCTTAAGGTAGGATATTCTGTGCTTACCATGCATAGACATAAATACTTCCCAAGCATGTGCTGTTCTCCACTGTTACCTGGGTCTTCCATAAAGGGGGCTGGAGGCACCAGGGTGAAGCCCTAAACCCCATTCAGTAAAAAAAATCTTGCATGGCCCAGCAAAAGCAACAAAAGTGGGTTAGCTACATTCTCAGTATAACCCAAACCAAATTTTCACCAAAGAGCTACCGAAGCCTAGGAAATCTACACATGCAACTCGATACCAAGAACGATGGTGTAAAACCACTCTCTACATACCAATTCAAAAAAGGAGGAGAAATTTGACTGATCGATTGAGGTACGTAATTACATCGCTAGTGACACAACAGCTTAGGTCATATGCCGCCGATTTAAACAAAACACTAGGCTAAAAACAAATAATGCAAGGCAAAAAAATAATTATAATTAGCGTAGAACTTTCCTGAAACTATTTAAACATTAATAGATAAAACTCGAAGCTTGAGTAGAAAGCCGGCTTTCTCCATGAAGGAGAGGACGTCCCCTTCATGCTCACTGCTCATTCCCAGCACTCGGAGAGATGCTCACTACGGAAGAGCTTCTTAACTGGGGCACTCCACCAGGAAGTGTTGAACAGTCAATGGGACCAGGGGTGTCCTTTCCATTAAAAAAAACCATGAATGAGCCATGTGAGGCCAATGCGAAGGCGGGCCAAAGCAGTCTTCCAGCAGCGCGACACATCCCTGAAATCTCCAGGTCCCCAAATCAGGACAGATGCCGTGGAGCTTGTTTTCTCTGACGGCATCCCATCAGCGTTGCCAACTAGAGGTAGGTAGAGGAGAATGATGTACCACAGGGCAAGAAGCAGCTGCTTTTGCACAGCGTTAGCTTGCTCATTCCCCTTTTCCCCCACATGGGTCAGAACCCAGCAAAAACTGGTGTTCTGGCCCCGATGTCAAATGAGAAACAGTCACTCTAAATTAGCTATAACAAAGGGATGGGATGATGAGACACTAGCTATGACCTGGAGAGCACTGCAAGAATCACTACAAATTTTGAAAGCACTATAAGGTTGGGTAAAAATAATCTTAAAGACAAGTAAAATACCTGAAAACTCTGCCATAAAAATAGATGCCATAGTGGGGAGACTACTATCCGACAGAAGTTATGAAAGACTTCCCGAAAACCCACCTCTGCAGCATCAAACTTACAGCGATAGGTGTAAACAGGGATAATCCCTCTGTGAGAGGAGGTATGCTCTAAGAAAAAGAGAATGAACCATACAGGGAAGGAATAAGAACTAACTTTCATTAAAATTCTGACAAACTTGAACTTCAGAGAGAATCCACAGAGCGGCATTAGGGAACCACTTGGAGCATATCTGGACAAAAGGAATACAAAGAAGAAGCACACCTTCCCTTCCCCTAAAGCTAAAGGTCACAGGAGGCTTGGATTACAAGTGTAGTGTGGGGACATAGTCTAGTCAACTGCACAAGCGTTGGTTACAGACTGCAGAAGGCGATGGAGACAAAACCAACACTGTAGCTGGAGACAATGGCGTCGAAGATTAAAGGGTGGCTCATCAGCAACCATCAGTAGACTTGGGATTGGCGAAGAATTGAAGACACTGGTTGCCAGGTGCACCCCAGTATGATAAAAAGAGTTCGGTGTATTGAGTTTAGCCTCAGTGGCTGAGGAGTACACCTCACCCCCATAATCCAGTTTGGGTCTAACTAGCATGTGGTAAAGGTGTAGCAGAGTTCCTCAGTCAGCACCCCACCAACTGGAACCCATGCTGCTACCCCATTTATTATGATGGTAATTAGGGCCACTATAAAGACACTGCCCTGAGGAACCCTGTCCTCCTGAATATGTGGTGCTAATATTTCTGTGGCAAAGCAGACACTAAAAGTGTGACGGCCCAAGAACTGACCAATTATTTATGGTAAATTTGCCTGTAAGCCAAAATTGTCAAGCTCCTTAAGGATGCAGAAACTCCAAACTGAGGTGTATGCTTTCTGTATGTTGAATAAAATGCAGACGAGATGCTGGCGACAAGCAAAGGCCTCACAGATTGAGGACTCAAGATGAACAAGAGCATCTGTTGTTGAATACAACTTCTGGAAGCCAGATTAATAAAGTGAATGAAGAGCATTCTTCTTCAGGTAGCATATCAATCGATAGTTGATCATCTTTTCCACCAGCTTGCAGATACGGGTCAGGGCTATGGGGTGATATTCCAGAGGATGAAGACCTTCTTTTCCAGTCTTCATGAAAGGCAGGACAGTAGCCTTCCCGAGGAGGAATATGAATTGGAGCCGAGCCCAGTTGAAGAAAACACTAAATCCTATTTGGCCAAAAAGAGTTATGTAATGGCCCCTGTTTTAAAAACAGAAGAATTATATAAATGGGTTAATTATATTTGATTTATATACTGATTCAACCCTTGTAACTTTCCACTAGCGATGAGGTGACATGTTCAGGGCACGTGATAAGGTGTGCCCACGGGAAGCTGCGTCATATTATGCTGAGTTAAGGCATTAAGTAGCCGGCTCCCTGGCCACCTAAAGCAGGCAGTAGTTTGATATCCTTGACTAGAGGAAGACGTCATTTGAGAGCCATCGTGGATGGTTCCGTCTTCCCTTGAGGGAGGACGACATGCCTATTCCGTTCTCCCTCGATGGGTCACTACTCGAAGAATTACTTCTCAACCCCTCACACAAGGACGTGATTAAACGGTCTATTTACATAGCCACCGTCCTTCTCTTAACACTCATAGCTACAGTGATTAAGTTACGGTTGATTTACACTCTGGAATTGTATCAACAGCAGTTCCTCAATAAAAGGAGAAACAGAGAATTGGGTTTCGCTACTCTAACCCAATATAATATAAATGTACCAGCCAAGTTAACTTTGACAGAACCTATAGTTAACAGGCTATAACAGTTATCAGTATAGTTATTCCTTTGACTGATGAACTCACCAGAGGAAACAAAGTCATAGTTGAGTGAGAAACTGACAACCAGATATTCAAAATCTACCACTGGATGATTCTCCGAGACAGACTCCAAGAGAAAATGTTCCAATCCATCATCCTTTCACAAAATCTTATTTCATTTCTTGACAGGACATCTGCCCTAACACCAAATCTAACAGCATGTGTCGCCCTAATAGAAAAGGTGAGTTTCAATGAGAAAAAACACATTCCTAGACACTACCTATAAAGAAAGAGGCACAAAGGGACTTTTCTAATTAATACATGCCCTCAAACTCTCTCACAACAGAAATTAGGTACTCATCCACAGCTGGTGTGCCCTAATTAGTAGGCACTAAACAGTGACCCTCAAGAGAGGTCTTTGTAGTGAACAGTAGCAAAACTCAAAGACAAAAAGAGAGATAGAAAGAGAACAATTCTATTGTCCCCTCTTAAAATAATAACAACTTCAAACCTTATCCTACCTGATAGCGAAAAAGCATCTGCTTGAGCATACGGTTAGCTGCAACAATGGGCACTTGACGGCCAGTATTTAGGCGGTGAAGCTCCAGCTGACTGGCCATGAGTTGAGTGGTCATCTCGAGATCTGCAGCAGTGCCTACAAATACAACATGTAGTGATAATTTCAACTTTGGTAAAAGAATCACTATAACAAAGTAAAATACATTAGACCCTCCATATACTGTATATGTACTTCACTTTTGTTATTTTGGGGTATCTTAAATAACCCCCCTTTTTACAGTATACAGTCAGTCCTTAACATACGCGGGGGTTAGGTAACAGAGATACCCGTGAATGTAAAAAATCCGTGTACTATTGCTGCCCCCCCCCCCCTAAAGCACCCCTGGTCCCCCCATGTCCTTATTTACCGTATATACCTGTGTGTAGTTCGAGTTTTTAGGACCAAATTATTTTGCAAAAAATTGGGGGTCGACCTCTAAAAGGGTAATAGCTTCGTTAGGTTGAAAAATATTTACCAGTAACTACCAGTAAACAATGGAAACGACGCACCAACGCACCACCAGCTGTGAGTGTCGGTACAGTCGCCAGGGCAGTCTCTTGCGTCATCATAGCTAGCCCAAAGTAGCCAAATCCATGGTATGGTATACACAGGACGATGTAAAACAAAGTATTCATTTGTTAAAATTTATTTATAGATACTGTACATAAATTTTTGTTCATTACATTTGAAACATCAATCTTTGTTAATTAAATTTGATACAAAACAAAACTACGATACCGTATTTTCATTAAAATATTACATCACAAGTATATTTTACCTTTAACTGTGACTGAATGAATATATTCTCAGAAATAAATATGGAAATGTAATATTTTGGCTGAAATGACGTACATATTACTGTACAGTGCAAAGTAGGATAAAATTATGAAAACAATGACTTTCGCTTTCTTTCGTTGTTCAAAAGATTTTACCGTAATCGCTTTTCAAATGGTTTTCAGTTAAAAAACTGTTGTACTCGTACTGTATTACAATAATATTCTATCCTATCATTAGCCTTATAATCCCACAACTGAAAACCATTCGAAAAACGATTACGGTAACATCTTTTGAACGAAAGAAAGCGAGTCATTGCCTTAGTCACTTTCCACTGTAATACGTACATCATTTCAGCAAAAATATTACATTTCCATGTTCTCAGAAATAAATGGTAGTTTTGTTGAAACATAATGTACAGTATTTAATATTAAAATGCAAAAATAGCTATAAAAACAATTAATACACCCGTAATGTACTGGCTGGCATCTTGTCCCTGCTCCCGATTCCAAGGTCACCACTCCTCCCAACTCGCTCCCTCCTCCACCTCCACTACTGCCGACAACAAACACAAATGTTTTGTGAATAACTGCGCCTCCACTTCCTATGTACAGTACTGAACTGTACTGTGCTGTGCATTTTTACAAACAATAAACATGGCAAGAAAAGCTATTAAAAAAAAAGATAAAAACTTCACTTTACTGTACAGTCACTCAATTCCATAACGGGTGGTGAAGTGGGGGGCGACGGTGGATTCAGCTGCTTCCTCACTGCCGCCAGTGATTGGTGTTAAATCTCTCCTTCGGTGATCAGAGAACATGGTGATGGGGAGTTGTCGTCTCTTTCATTCATTTCTTCCATGATGTTTTTGTATGGAGCGAAAACGTCATCCATCCATCGCATGAATTTCAGGGCACGCACCATGGAGGGGTCCATACTATAGGCCAGGTTTTTCAGTGCCTCAATATTCCTGGTCATCTCCCCCAACTTCTCCAATGTTATTTCTTGGTGCTCTTCCTCATCCTCTTTCCCTTTCGCTTCCTCTTCCTTGCCTGAGTCTACTAACTCCTGTAGATCCTCCTCGGTCAGCTCAGTGTCGTGCTCTTCAATTAGCTCCCTAATCTCGTCCTCTGCCATGTCCCGGAAGCCTTCAGCAGCCACTTTCCTTGACAGTGCCAGGGTCTTTCTGAATATTTTCATTAAAATCCATCAAAATCATTTTCCTTGTCATCGTCTTAAGCACCAAACAGCTCCTCCCAGTCTTCTCCTTGAACAGGGCTAGAGGGTACGTGTTTTTCGAATCGTTTTCAATTAAAAAAATGTTACAGCACATGTATATTTTACCTAAACTGTGCCTGAATGAATATATTCTCAGAAATAAATTGTAGTTTTGCTGAAACGTGATGTATTTCAATGTAAAATAGGATAAAATACGTGACGAAAACAAGAGACTTTACCTAACCTTCCGATGTTCAAGATATGTTACTCGTTTTTTTAGTAGTTTTCGGTTAAAATACTCTTATATTAGTGATATTCTATTCATACTGTGCTTGATATAAGACATTCACGGAAATGTAATATTTTTGCAACTACAATGCTGATGTCAACACAAGCGTGGTTAAAGTGAAACTGACTGAGTGAGGGAGAGCTATGCGTGTGTGTGTGTGTGTGTGTGAGTGAGTGAGGTTGCAGGAGCGGGTGGTGTCCCGTGTTCGGTGCCGCGCGCGATTTGAATGTACTTCAATTACTCCAATGTACAGAATATTCCTCCGGCGGGGCAATCCGCGTATTTGCAAATCCGTGAATGCTAAACCCGCGTATGTGAAGGGCCGACTGTATTTTAACCAAAAACTATTAAAAAACGAGTAACTTCTCTAGAACATCGGAAGGTTAGGTAAAGTCTTTTGTTTTCGTCATGTATTTTATCCTATTTTACATTAAAATACATCACGTTCCAGCAAAACTACTATTTATTTCCGAGAATATATTCATTCAGGCACAATTAAGGATAAAATATACATGTGATGTAACAGTTTTTTAACTGAAAACGATTCGAAAAACACGTGTACCGTGTAGCTCAGTGATTCCCAACGTGGAGCCTACGCCCCACTGGGGGGCAATTCAATAATAATAGGGGGGCAATATGAAAAATATAGTAATATCAACATTTTTTTTTTTTTACCCTATATGGGTAAAAATTATAAATTTATAGGGTAAAATTGTAATTACAACCTAGCTGAGCACAACAGCTTGTGCAATCTAGTCAAGTGTTCACCCACTAATGTTATCGTGCATCTGGCACCAGCTATATGCGTGGCTTCTGACTTGTTTAACTTTGCAGTTCTTCATCTGCTGTCAAGGAAGGTGAGTTTTAGTCAGCTGCTCAACGCTCCCACTGAAGCTAAAAAAACAGAGGAAACTAACTACAACCAAATTAAATGTGCACAATAAAGCATGGAAGCAGTATTGAATTAAACACAAATGCAAGTTTCATGTTGATATAGTTATCTGTCTCTGTTTTTTAGCTTCACTGAGAGGGCTGGTTAAAGTGCTTTTCATTATGATTATTGATCTTGTTATTCTCTGAAAATAATGTATAAAAATAATCATTCATTGATCTTGTCACAGTAACATTAATTTAAAACTGTGAATATAAAGCTCAATATTTACTTGAAATGGCAACTGCATATTGACATTGTGCCTTGTATGTTACAGAAGTTAGATATTAAATTTATTTTCCTAAGTATATAAATATTTTATTTTCACTTTTCAGTTACCCCCATGATGCATAAAATGAACAGTGTGCACGCCAAAAAAAAGTTCGCCAGTATTCAGATGAGTACTTGCTGTTTGGGTTCATACCAGCGACTCATGATGAAAGGTTGCCTTTTTGTCTGTTGTGCCACCAATGTTTGACTAATGAATCCATGAAGAGAGGTCGTCTCGAAAATCATTTGAAGGCAAAACACAGTATTCATGTTAATTCAAAACTGGAGTATTTTAAATCCCTAAAGGAGAAGTTTGAAAAAAGATCAACAATAAATTCATTGTTCTCTGCAAGAAGTGCAAGCAAGGATCGTGGTCTTGAGGCTAGTTATGAAATTTCTCTTCTCATAGCAAAATGTGGCAAAAATCATACAATAGGGGAGAATTTAATTAAGCCCGCAATATCAACTTTTCTGAAAGTAGTTCTTGAAAAAGATGACCAAGATCTCAAAAGCATGCCGCTCAGTAATAATACTGTTAGTAGCAGGATTAATGAAATGAGTTGTGATGTACAAGTACAACTTGTTGAAAAATTAAAATATACAAATTTTTCAATACAGTTGGACGAATCAACTGTAAGAGATAGTGAAGCTCTGTTAATGGCCTATGTAAGATATGTTGATAATGGAGAATTTATTGAGGATATACTATTTTGCGAAGCATTAGAAACCACCACTATTGCAATTGATATATATAAGAAATTAAAAACATATTTAGATGATAAGCAGATACCAATGGAGAACATTATATCTTGTGCTGCAGACGGTGCTCCAGTGATGATGGGCAAGAAAAATGGAGTTTTAAAATTATTGAAAGACGACAATCCCCAAATGTTGTTAGTGCATTGTGTTATTCATAGACAGAATTTAGTTTCCAAAAAAGTTTCCCCTGTTCTAAACGAGACATTGAATGCAGTTATAAAATGCATCAACACTATAAAAGCTAATGCCAAATGTGAGCGTCTTTTCAAACAATTTTGCAAGGATCAAAATGCAGACTATGTAAGATTATTACTTCATACTGATGTAAGGTGGTTATCAAATGGGAATTGCCTGAAAAGATTCATGGAATTATTTGATATTCTTAGTGAGTTCTTGGATGACAAACCTTATATGACTCTGTTACTGACAGTTGATGGTAAAGCACTTGTCAGTTATTTAGCAGATATATTTGAAAAACTCAATGTCTTAAATAAGGAGCTTCAAGGAACAAATATGACTCTTGTTAATTCAAAGGCCAAGATATTTGGCTTTATATCATTTCTGGAATTATCCCAAGAAAATATTTCTGTCAAAAAATTTGAACAATTTTATTGGCTGAATAAATGTGAGGTAACAGATGCTACTTGTCTTGTTATTGTGGAGCACTTAAAAATAATGGTAAGCGATTTCAACTTCAGATTTTCTGATTTGAAAGAAATTAATTATCCATCTTGGATGACTCAGCCATTGCTAGTGGATCTGTCAGATGTAACCATGGAGTATCAAGGAGAACTTTCAGAATTTCAAAATGATGACTCGATTAAAGCCCTGTTCAAAATAAAAGGAACAATGATGTGGCTCTGTGAAGAAACACAAGCTAAATATCCAAATACAAGTAGTTTGGCAAGAAAACTACTGTTACCATTCCCATCGTCATACTTAGTGGAATGTGGATTTAGTGCTGTGAATGACTTATTACTGAAGAAAAGAAACAGACTGGATATCACTAAACGAGGCGACTTGAGATTGAAATTAACAAAATTTCTGCCTCGGATAAAATCTCTTTGCAGTAGACATCAGGCTCAAGGGTCTCATTAATTGATTGTAATTGAATTTATTTAATCTGATGGTAGATATGTTATACACATTATAAAATGGATTTTATTTGATTAAATTTGAAGTTAAACCCTTTAGTTTTATTTGAAAGATACAATTTTTTATGTTATACTTCTTCAAAACTGATATTGTTATATCATACTAAACAATTAACGGGTGGGGGACGAAGAAATTTTTGATAAAAAAGTGGGGCATGGTACTAAAATGGTTGGGAACCACTGGTGTAGCTGATACTCAACAGCTGGTGGTGCGTCATGTGTCGTTGTAAACAATAGGAGGTTGAAGTAGATTACCGGGTATTATATTAAGTGTGAAATATCAAAAAGGTTTTTATTACCGGTATTTTTTGTAGATCAATGAGAACTGTGATACCGTATATGATATGATAAGTTAGCCTGTGCTAAGAACTTCAACATAGACTACTGAAAACATGTTGTAAGGTAATTTAGCCTATTGTAAGTTGGTGAGCTTCATTTGCTGAAGGAACTGCACAACTTTTCATTACTAATTTACAAATTTTACGTTTCCATTGTTTACTGGCAGTAAATGGTAAATATTTTTCATGTCTGAAGCTAAAAGTTGCATCCCCCCCCCCCCACACTAGTGGTGATGTTACATTTGACCAAAAAGACGCTGGTGTTTTATCCCAGCAGTGGGTGGACCAGCATTTTAGCTTAAGGTCCGCGTAGGTAATATTCCTACAAATCTTAAAAAAAAAAAAAAAAAAAGTTCGTTCAGATTTTGTCCGAATTATCCGAAATCCGGATTAAAGGGGTCCGAATTAACGAGGGTCGACTGTATATAAAATCTGATTACTGCATTGGAAAGCTCACAAAATTCCACTTCTAGCAGTGTACACTCATGCGCTGGTTAACGTCCTAGATATGTTCTTGGAAATGTGACGTTGTCCGATCACCACATAAACTTTGCATTTATACTGTAATGTGATACAGGTGATTAATTTTTATCTCTTGTGCAAAATACATGACGTTTATATTAAAATTACTCACTGTTATACAAGGATTCCAGCAACACTGGGCAGATGGGGGAGAGAGAGGGAGCGAGGGGGCGTGGGGGGAGAGGAGGGGAGCGGTTTGACAGTTGGCACAGGCCCAGATCTAACGCATGTATATTTATCAGTTCTTAAGTGACTAAGCTTCTCTCCTATAAAAAGCCAGTGAAATGACCTGGGTGAATATAATTTACATTGCTGGGATTCTTGTAAGATGTTGATTTATTTAAATATAAACAACCTATAATTCGCACTAGACATAACAAATTTAGTGCCGTAATCAAATTAGTACATGTGCACTTAAGCTTTGCACTAAAGTCATGTATTTCTTTTACGTTTCTTTTAGTATGGTGTGTGCATGTAAATGGATGAAAATAAATGAAGAAATTTAAGTAAATCTACCCAAAAATACAGTTGAAAAACTTTATACCTGTACAGTTTTACCCCGCTTAACGCGCTTTCACTTAACGCGTTTTCGCATATACGCGGTGCCTTGCCAAAGCTGAACTTTCACTTAACGCGGGTTTTTTCCACATATACGCGGTGAGTGTCCGAGACGCTATTTTTAGATTTGCCCCACCCGCCACCCTGCCTGTTTTAGCTCATAAAATTCATACAAATTACCAGGCCAGAATATAATTTACATTGCTGGAATTCTTATAATTTGGTGATCATTTTGAATATAAACATCATATATTTTGCTTTAAACTTACAATTTTTAGATAAAAATTTTTCTCTAGGTAACTATGGTATCTTTTGTCCAAAATATATGACATTTATATTCAAAATATTCCTGGTCTTACAAGGAATCCAGCAATGTCAATTATATTATCCTAACTTTAATCTGAGGTATTATTTAATACTAAATGTTAAAAACTCTGGAAGGGAGGATTGGTGGGGGGTGGGGGGGAGGGTTGGGACTGACCGCGCGGTTGGAAGAGGGGGGGAGGCAAGGTGGGGTACTTTGATTGACAGATAGTGTCGTGAAGATTATTTTTTTTTTATTAACTGAAGATATTTGTTTTAGCTCATAAAATTCATACAAATTACCCGGTCAGAATATAATTTACATTGCTGGAATTCTTATAATTTGGTGATCATTTTGAATATAAACATCATATATTTTGCTTTAAACTTACAATTTTTAGATAAAAATTTTTCTCTAGGTAACTGTTATCTTTTGTCCAAAATATATGACATTTATATTCAAAATATTCCTGGTCTTACAAGGAATCCAGCCATGTCAATTATATTTTCCTAACTTTAGTTTGAGGTTATCCCACACATCTCCTTGGGGCGGTTGGTGGGGGGTGGGGGTGGGGGGGAGGGAGGGACCGACCGACCATCTGTTAGCCGGCTGTGTAGTGTGAGAGGGGGAGGGAGTTGAGTCCATTATTTGAATGGACATTAACTTGGCGACTGTATTTCTCTATTTCTCTTAAGTATTAATTGTGTGCATGTACCATCATAAAATTAAGATGTTATTTTTACTACAACATAGGTATGTGCCTTCAAAAAGTGGAGTTTGGGGGTCGGGCCGGTTTCTATTGGAATTAATCCCATATGTTCTGTTGTTCACTTAACGCGGATTTCACTTAACGCGGGACCCTCTGGGTTCAATTGACCGCGTTAAGTGGGGTACAACTGTATTATAAAATGTACTACAGCATTGTACACTAATGTACTACAATTTTTATCTCAAGCAAAATATATGACATTTATATTCAAATTAATCCATGTCTTGCAAGGATTTCAGCAATGCAAATTATATTACCCTAACTTTAATCTGAGATATTATATAAAATAAACAAAGAAATCACCAATCTTATGTCTGGGAACACGAGGAGGGAGGTAGCCAGCGAGCGTGGGAAGAGGGGGGTCGGGGGGGTGAGGTGACAGAGTGTCTGGCGTTTGTTTATTTATTTGAGATAAGATTTGACAGTTGGTGCTGAAGGCCTGCGTGTTTATTTATCATTACTTAAGGGTGACTAAGCTCTTCTCATAATTTACCACCCAAACGACCTGGGTGAATATAACTTACATTGCTGGGATTCTTGTAAGATAGTGATTTTTTTGAATACCTGTATAAACAATCTATATTTGCAATAGACATAACAATTTTAGTACATGTACAGTACAGGTTTGCACTTAGGTCCATTGTTAACCGAGGAACCATTGTATTGCAGTGTACTTGTACTGTACAATATCGACTAAATTCACTAAATAACGTACACAACTAATGGTTGGTAAAACTTGTCAAGTGAGTGTCAAGTCTGTCAGTATGAGTGGCACGTGAGAGTGCTTGTGTCCCCCATCATAGGAGTCCGTTTTCTCTTAATCTTAGAGTGCAGTGCACCAGAGACTTCGTTATTCCTTAATTATGACACAGAATTTGAAATTGCAACCCCAATTGCAACTGGGGTTGCATTTGTTGAGGCAACTAGATATGTATGAATACAGCAAATGTGTTATTGTCAATTTGTAGGTGAAAGATTTTATCCTCAATAGATGTAGGTTAACATTACACCTGGAGGCAAATGCTTACTAAAGCCTAAGGAAGGATATTCCTTTTAACACACAATATCTGGCCAATATGGGAAGGATCATCGTGTCTCCGTCAGGGGGTCATGGAGTGGTGGTCATGAGGGCGTCACGGGTTTTTTTTTTGGTGGGGGCACGGACGTATATGCGATCGGACGTTAACAGGCGCATGACTGTATAGTACTTAATAAGTTGGCTCAGACAAATTTGAGCTAGGAGGTTGTGAATGTATTGGTGTGTATTTTTCTCTCATGTTTATTAGAAGTGCAAAAAAAATAGCTATATACTTGTATTATTATTTTTTGTATATGTTGCAGAGCAATCAGTTACGAAGGGTTTATTGTGATACCTACACAAATAAATAAAAATAAAGCAAAAATATCAAGCTTCCTTCATTGTAACAATGAGGGTAACAGAAACAACTAGGACATACCTGCTCCACAGCAATACATGTTTGGCTGGAGATAGTGGATCTTGCTGCAGTTCTTGTCTGCAATAATGTCACCCTCAGTAGCACGGGTATCTGCGCCCAGGACGACACCATCTTTGAATACCACACCGGCGATGGTGGTGCCAGTCTTACGAGACTTTGGCATTGGGAATCCTTTGGCCACCAAGCTCTCATTCCTGTGAAATGCAGACTTCTTTCTAATATGTACTGTACGTTCATATCAATACACAACCATAAAGTGAAAGTGGGTCCAATAGACATGATTGCCTGTTAGGGATAGTATGGATAAAGCACAGTGTATACTAAGCCTTTGGTACACTATTAGGCAGCATGGCCAGTACTGCACTCAACCGCATTCATTTTACCAAGTTATAAACTTAGGTCTCCATTTATAGGTGGGTGAATTAGGAGCACCTGGGAATAATCCCACTAACCCCTGGAACAGGAGGCCAGTGCTGTATCTGCTCAACTGCCATGCTCAGAACCACAGAGTACTGTAAAGCACAATAACACATTGGCCGAAAAGATGACAAAATAATTTTCTTGGATATACACTAAATGTGATTAGTCAAACAGAATCAGACCAAATAAAGTAGCCAGTTTATTGAGACAGTCATACAAAATTGTTTATTAAACATAACATGGCTTTCAGTAGAGTTCAGTAATGAAGCTGCAATCTACTGTGCAGGTTCCTGGAAAGAGAAGATAAGAATTATACAAAGTACTATACAGTATATTATAGCCTATGGAATACATTTGAGTCTGGATTTACGCGGTTTTGGTTTAAGCGTTTTGTCATTTACACGGTGCCTTGCCAGAATTGAAATGCTTGATTTACACGGTAAATTTGGTCATTTACGCGGAGAGAGGCTGGAGGTCCAGACGCTCCACGCCATTTTTTATTCAAGCGGTCCATTCTCGACCATAAGCGGGAAGCGCCGCGGTGAGTGGTGCGCATTAGGCCACTCTTACGTTATCGCTGCCGTCATATGACGTATCGGACTGTGATTGGGCCATGCATCCTTACCACCCACGCATTCCCTCCCCCGCTAGCTGTGATTGGTCTAATGTAACATGACGTGCCCTGCCACCAGAGGGTAGAAGTCGCTGACCTAGCAGGGCCTGTCTCATTGTTCTCAGTCCGCGTATACAGTTCTCTCTTGTGCCCGCTATTCCCTTCACAACTCACAATGGCTTCCGCGGGAACCCCTTCACCAGAGAAAATCATCGAGTTGGGGGAGAAACTTAAGCTCATCCTTGACAAGGACCCAGACAAGCATCGGTATGAAGTGTCTAGTAACCATCTGACGAAATTTATGGAGCCGTATATCCAGATTTATCTCGACAACATCAATGCTAGTCATCAACGTAGTATTGAGGACTTCCTCACCTGCAACCCACCACAACCACCCCAAATCAGTGATAGTGGTATTGACAGTGAGGATATGGACTGAGAGGTTTGTCTGGGAGGCCCTGCAAACCTCTGCGAGTAGTGAAAGTGATTCACCGGAGGGTAACTAATCTGCCCTCTGCCTCGGAACCAGCCGCCATCCACGTGTGCCGACCCAGCTTTTCTACTAACGTATGTGTTAAAAAACCCTAATATTATTGATATTTCTCTTAATTATTAATTGTGTGTGCATACCATCATAAAATTAAGATGTTATTTTTACTACAACATACGTATTGTGTCAGAAAAAGTGGAGTTTGGGGGTCGGCCCAGTCTCTATTTCAATTAATCCCATATGTTCTGTTATTTCATTTACGAGTTTCTCGTTTTACGCGGTACTCCGAGTAAATGAAGACCCAATTGTATGCACTTTAGCTACATACAAGTAGATAAAGTAGTTACCAACCAACTCCTCCCCCCCCAAAAAAAAACATGAGTGCCTTCAATAACTAAAGTGCAGGATGTCAATTATTTGATTAAAAGGTTTTGAGTTAACCCACAAAAGTGAAAAAAAAACATTATGGGTATTTAATATACTGTACGTAATAACATGGCTATGGAAGATGAAGTGGACAGAGTGATAAAGGATTAAAGAAGATTAAATGAGGGATGGAAGATGGGTGGTGACTAGGAGCACCTGGAGGTCAAGCACAGGGTCAGAAGAAAGGTTTACAAGGCTAAGAAGCATGAACATTCTGCATTTGCAGATACTGTATGCTGAAGTGTGGGTGTGTGTGTGGATGCTCAAGTAAGGCATCCATAATATCAAGCAAATACAGTAATAACTCCATAAGCAGGAATCCCTCTTAGCCAGAACTGGAATTGAAATTTGCTCAGAATTTTTCTGGGAAATTTTTCTCAATTATGGGAAGGACAATCCAATGTTAAAAATCAGGCTCATGTTCTAAAAATTCCAGTAACTAAAAAATAAAAATAAAAATAAATAAATAAATACCGGTATACAGGCCTGGGAACAAATTCCGACGATGAAATAATGTACACACACACACACAGTTAACCTTCACACAGTGAGGTCCCAGGTACCCAGTGATAACAGCCCCCGCGAGACCCAACAACCACTACTGATGTGTTAATCCGTCTACGAGAGGAAGGCCTGGGACCAAACCTAACTCATATAACACCATCTGTGAGGGAATTACTACACCACATGTCCCTCATAACACCATATGTGAGGGAATTACTACACCACGTCAAGTCCCATCACACCATCTGTGAGGGAATTACTACACCACGTGAGGCCCCTCATAACACCATCTGTGAGGGAATTACTACACCACGTGAGGTCCCTCATAACACCATCTGTGAGGGAATTACTCACAACACCATCTGTGAGGTAATTACTACACCACGTGAGGTCCCTCATAACACCATCTGTGAGGGAATTACTACACCACGTCAGGTCCCTCATAACACCATCTGTGAGGTAATTACTACACCACGTGAGGCCCCTCATAACACCATCTGTGAGGGAGTTACTACACCACGTGAGGTCCCTCATAACACCATCTGTGAGGGAATTACTACACCACGTCAGGTCTCTCATAACACCATCTGTGAGGTAATTACTACACCACGTGAGGCCCCTCATCATATTACTACACCACGTCAGGTCCCTCGATCTGTGAGAATTACTACACCACGATGCCCCTCATAACACCATCTGTGAGGGAGTTACTACACCACGTGAGGCCCCTCATAACACCATCTGTGAGGTAATTACTACACCACGTGAGGTCCCTCATAACACCATCTGTGAGGTAATTACTACACCACGTGAAGTCCCTCATAACAACATCTGAGGGAACTATTACACCACGTGAGTTCCTCCTACACTACGAGTTTGCTGTTCAACACCTACATTAATCTGTATGTTCACTGTATGTTCCTTTACCTTTCTCTAATGAAGGCTTTTGTTAAACCACCAATGTATGTAATAAGTCATTTATGTCCAATGTATATTTTCAGCCTTCGGGCTGCAGAATTTTTTCAATAAACTGTTAATTATTATTATTATTATTATTATTAATCCCGTGTTTTACACGGGGTTCTTTTATCGCGCTATTTTTTACTAAAAAATTATATACGTATATACAGTACCTACTACCACCTGAGATCCCTAGCCAGAGAATTGCTGTTCGACACCACAACCGCATCCAGCCCATACGTGCACAAACTGATTGCTATAAGAACAGCCCAGTCCCAACCATTGTAAATATTATCAATAACTTGTAATAAACCAGTGTATTCACTCCCAGTAAATCCTACTTCTTGCAATGTCACTATGTTGAAATGCCCTGTAGTTTGAGCTTTTCCCAATCGAGTTATTATATATCTTATTTGTACCACTTATGTTACTTGTATATTATTTGTAAATCAAAACCCATTCCCCAATTATGTAACTGTATATTTTCAGCCTTCTGGCTGCTATGCTCTTTCAATAAACCGTTAATTATTATTATTTTTATTATATATATGTATACAGTCAACCCTCACTTTACGCGGTTCCACATTCCGCGTTTCCACGTTAACGCGGTGCCTTGCCAGAACCTAACGTGCTCACATTACGCGGTGCGTGAACCCCATTACGCGGAGAGTGTCCGGCGCGACGCTATTTTTAGATTCGCCCCACCCGCCTGCCTGCCTGTGCTCTCGCCTCTCCCTTCTCCTCCCTCCGCTTGGGCAAGCCGCGCGGTAAGGTTGCGCAGTGTGTGTCTTTGTTGCGTTATCACTAACGTCATATGACGTATCGGACTGTGATTGGCCATGCATCCCTACCCCCCTCTGCTGCTAGCTGTAATTGGCTTAAAGTATTATGACGTGTCCACCCGGGGGAGGGAGGAAAGACGATCCTTGACCTAGCCGCGCCAGTTTCATCCCTCCACGCCAGACCGTGTAAATGTGCATCCATTGTTCTCTAAAATGGCTTCCGCCGGACCACCACCCCCAGAGAGAAACCTTTCCTTACCTGGACCCAGCGGCACTAAGCCAAAGAAGACACGACGTTCCTTAAGCTACGAGGTGAAGTATACAGGTAGTTCTGCTATAACGCGATAATTGTGTTCTTGTAAAATATCGTGTTATAGAAAATCGCGTAATAGAAATAACAGGGCTTATGGAGAAAATAGGGTTAGGTGCAGATTACTCCAAATCGAAAAAAATTTTCGTAGTTAGCCTAACACAAAGGATAGCACAGTCTAAATAAATGTTACATTCATATCTAATAATGAAATCATACAGTAAATGTTACACTTTACCTTGAAAAAATATGAATTTAACTTGATGGGGGAGAAGGTTAATGTTGAGGTTGAGGAGTCATGCAGACAGGATTTGACAATTGTCATCGTCATCATCATCATCAGTATCATCATCATCAGGTGCAGTTTTGGTTGCATGGGAGGGAAGAAAAAAACGTCTAATTCCAGAAGTGGATGGCTGTGGTTCAGTGTCTTCAGTCTGCTTCTTGGGGGTTGACTTAAAAAAGACGTCTAATGTTTGCTGCTTTGCCGTCTTTCTTCTTTCACAAAGAAGCTGTTCATAAGGTGCCAAAAAAGATTTAACACCACGAACTGCAATCCTGCTCCTTTCTGCATTGTAGTCATTGTCTTCCAAGCGCTGCAACTGCGTATCAACTTCCCTCAGGATAGAAGATAAAACAGAAGTGGGAAGCTCTCGTGGTTTTGCATCCTGGACTTCTTCATCTTCGGC